AGGCCTAAAAATTCCTAATCTGAGGCTCCAACAGTTAATCATTGCTGAGGAATTTATGGGGTCTTCGGCTCCTTTTGTTTCCAAGTTCCTATGGTTGCTCTAAAATTCATGCAAACTGTTTTCACTCCCTCCTTTCTCATCAAAAGTGGATCCTCTTCGTTCACCTTGTCACTTTTTAATGCTATTTTGGTTTTTGTTCCCCTTGTTCTGCTTGGTCTGTAGCATCACAACACCAATGGACCTTTCCACCACTCACTCGTTGCCAGAATGACAAAAAGCCGGTCTACCTTCTTGAGATAAAAGATTAGTTTTATGTAGAATATCGGCTTTGGTGTCGTATAAGTCGCTTTCAGCGTTTGGGCTATTATGGACAACAGGTACTGCTAGAATTTCATCTAAATAAAACAACTAGCATCATACTCCTTTTCTATTGTTTTAATTTTTCTGGATCTTCGATGTTCTACTATGTTTATCTCACAAAGTATCGCACATACATTTTTACAAATAGCGCTGACAATGTGTGCATATGAAGGCGAGATTTTAATCAAGACTAGTCGTCTCATTACGCCCCATTCAAGAGAGCCTCATTATTATTTGTTTGTGTATCACTTTCGACTTTCTAGACTCGGCGTGGAAACGCTCAGGTTGATATAGATCACCCAGCCGTCGTACAGGTTGAAGAGTTGCAGAAGAACATGTCTCGATGGTCTCTCCTCCTCCCTCTACCACCTGAAGGAGGGGCAGCAGCAGGGGAAATGAATGCAAAGGAAGGTCGGTATGCGGGCGGTCGCCGAGCCATTGATCAGTTAGAGGCTTCACTGAATCCTCGAGGAACTCGAGAATCTCACTTGCGTAAGGCCGTCTGTCAGCTGCGACCTATTCTCATCACTGCAGTTGCGGAGTGTCCGGTGGAGGTGCTAGTTGTGCCTGAAGAAGTGAAGGAGGAAGAAACTGAATCTTCTTCGGTGAGTCCGTTTGCATCGGTCGACAAGTACTTCATTGAACTCGTTGTTCAACAATACCTTTGTTCATACCTTTTGCAGACGAAAGATGCCCTGTCAATTCTACTCGCATGGCTTGAGACTGCAGTACACGGAGTCGCAATGCGCTTGGGCGTCCCGATTGCCAAGTGAGTTCGGTTTCTCCTTTCATAATATCTACTTGATCGCTTACTGTATTGTACTTCCTACGTTTCCTGCCCTATATTTTTGTAGATTGGAAGAGAAAACGAAGGATATGAAGGCGGAGGAGGGAGAGGAGGCCGATTCTGGTGATGAATCAGCGAATGCGTAAGTTACTGCGATGTGCAATCTGCTTATTAGTGATGGATTTGGTGCTGTGGTTGGTTGTTGAAGTTGAACTACTTGAATATCCATTTATCATTTTATTTAATTGTCTTTTTTGGT